ATTTAGTTTTTTTGTCTAAGAAAATAAAGATATGATAATTTATTAATAAAAATTTATATTTATCCATACTTAAGTACTATTTAAATGAATTTCTTATTTAATATATGTTATAATTATTTTTTAAAACAATGGTAAAATAGAAATAAATATATTAAATAATATCTTTAAAAAATAAATAATTAAATTTAAATGCTTTAAATAAAAAATTAAATCTATTAAAAGCAATAAAAGGAATAAAAATAGAATTTTTTAAAATAGAAAAAGAACTATTTAGAATGTAATAAAATTAATACTAATTAATATAAAAATTTTTATTTAGTCAAAATTAAAATTTTGAACTTGTGTCACAACAAAAAATTAATTACATGTTTGGAAGGGAAATAGAGGAGAAGAGGAGAATTGTATCTTCTTATTCTCTTCTTTTGTTTTTTTCTTTTAATAGATTAAAATTATTTATATATTAATTAAGAAAATGAGAAAGAAATTTTGTGGAATTCGAATCTGTGATTCATAAGAGGTGAATTGATCTAACTCAAGATCCATACTACTAAATTGAAGCGAGCCGTTCATTCTCTTCTTTTGCTTTATATAGATAAATAAATAAATTTTAAAGAAGTAAATTATAGGAAATTGTTGCTATCTATTTTCTCAAAAAAAAAAAAATTTTGTCTCTTCTCCATTCACATCAATTCAAACATGCTGTAACTTTCAACAGTCTCAACCTAAGAAAAAATAATAATAACTTATAAAGAATTTTTTCAACTTATATTTTATTGTATCATTTCATTATTAATTTATTTAAAAAATTATAAAAATAAATTCTATTTTTAATATTAATACTATATAAAATATTTTAATAAATTAATGATAAAATTAAATTAATTTTTATTATATAGAATAAATTAATAATAAAAAAATATAATACATTTATCTTTAATCTATACTCATGAGAGTTTGGTATGGGATAGAAAATTTCATTGATGAATACTAATTATTCTATTAGTACCAAACTAGCCGTTGTCAAAATTATACAATTTACCAAACAGTATAGACTCTATTCATTGCACGTGCTGTGTGAGGTGGAGTGGGATTGCCTTTTCATTTTCCATTTATGT